CTGCTGCAGCGCCGCCAGATCGGCCTCTGGGTGCGCAGACAGCACCGGGTCGCGCTGCGGCCCCGCCGCCATCGCTGCTGCCGTCGCGGCGGCCGCGGGGGACGCGAGGCCGGGGGCGAGGTCGGGGGGGCCGGGGCTGGTGGGGCCGGGCGTTGTGGAGCCGCTGCCGGTTTGCGCTATGGCCTTAGGGGGAGCGCCGGTCTTCTGCGGGTAGCGGCCCATGTGCCGGTCCTAATCTTTTGGTGTCTGATTTGCTGTAGATACGTATCCAGCGAGCAGCCCGAAGCAGCGACACTTGACTGTTCGAGGCGCACGGTTCACAATACTCACTGCCAGTGACTGCAACCTTCAGGTACTGCTACAAACCCACGAAGACAGTCAACAAAATGATCATGTATTGATGGTCGATGGACCCACGGACACGAATGCGATATAAATCCTGCTGTATCCAGATCGATCGGCACTTGTTGCGCTGCCTGGAAGACACTCAATTGTTTCGGTTACAGTATTTGACAGTCGTCGCGCTTTGACAGTGGAGCTTCCGTCGCTTTTCCTGACACTACCATCCGGATCATTGACGCTCCAAGCTCCTGTCAAAGACCGCGGTCGCACGGCTTGGGTGCAATGCAGCAACTTCGCAGCCTGACGCGCCCCCGCATGCGACCATTGCGCGGCCAGACAGCAGGCGGGCTTGCGACCACGACAGCGCTGCCGCCCCGCCCTATGCATGGACGTGCCAGCGCCCGCCACACACGCCCCCGCCTCGCCCCCCGGGCCGCCGACGGGGGCGGTCCCCACGCGTCGGAGGCCGGGGCCGCCGGCGACGGGGCCCGTTCCGGCGTAAGCACTCGCAGCCTGGATCCACCCCCGCCTGGCGCCACCCCCAGTGGCGCCCAGGCGCCCTCGCCGCAGCCCGGCCCGAGCCACCCCAGCGGCAGCGCCGCCGACGGCGAGCAGCAGCAGCAGCAGGCCGCTCCCGAGTCTGCCGCCTTGGAAGCACTGTACCTCCAATCAGTCGCCGCCGCCGTTGCCCGCGCCGCAGCGGCGGGCGCCGGCGCTGCAGACCCAACACGCGCCCCCGGCGGCAGCGCCAGCGGTGCCGGCAGCGACGAGGATTCGGACGAGGAGTCCGAGGATGAGGACGGCTTGGAAGCTGAAGAGGCGCAGCTGGTCGTGTCGACAGTCTTCGAGGCGTCCAGGGCCCTGCTGTCCCTCGGCCTCGCCCCCGTCCTCGGGGTCAGCTGGGCGGCGACCAGGTGGGCGCAGGCGGGCGGGATTTGGATTATGATTAAGATGAGGGATGTTACGGGGTCCCGCGGTCGCCCGCCTCTGGAGCCATGCCAGGGCCATGGGGTCACCGTAGACTTTGAGAGAAGCGGGGGGCCCCGCGGCCGCGCGCGGGGCCGCGCGCAGGGGGGCGCGCGCCCCCGCTGCACTCCAGATGGCAGGGGGGAGGGCGGGCTGACGGCAGCAGCTGGACTGGCAGAATCAGACGGGCCCGGCATTCCTTTGAGAAACTATGTTTTGGACGAGTCGCTCGAGCCTTTGCCCGCGGGGAGCGGGTTGGCGCGCCGCTCCGCCCCGTTTCAGGAGCAGCCCTCGAAATCTGCACAGGCGCCGCGCGCGCCGCGGCCTGGATTCGGCCGGCAGAGCGCCTGCCCGCACGCCCACGCCGTCCCCGGATCCGTGCGCGGCCGCCGTTGCTCACGATCGCCTCCCGCCCCCGCCGCGGCTCGGGATTCGCGCAGGTTCGATCCTGAGGCCTTCTCCACGGCCGCCGCGCTCGCCGCCGCGCCCGTGGCGTTTGCGGCCGTCCTGCTGTTTGCGCCCTGGGCGGGCGCGCCCACCACCGAGCAGCTAGCAGCCATGCCGCGCGCCCTGGCCGCCGCCGCGCTTCCCTCGTGAGCTCGGGGCGGGGACCCCTGGGGTGTGGCGCGAAGCGCGCCCCGGCGAACGCGTATGTGGGCGCAGCTAAACCGCGCGATGCTCACACACCACGGCCCGCCAGCTGTGTTTGCAGCAGCGCGCACCAACCAACCCCACTCTCTCTCCCGGCACCCCTCCAGCCTTGACC